CTTTTTGCTGTGTCCTCACACGGTAGAGAGAGACATCAACTCTCTAGTCTCTTGTAATACGGGCACCCTAATCCCATTTATGAGGGTTTCACCCTCATGACTCAGTTACTTCCCAGAGGCCCACCCTCCAAACACCATCACACGGGGGATTATAAAGATTCAGTCTGTGAATTTGAGGTGGACACAAATACTCAGTCCATAGCACTGCAGGTATAGTTTTTGAAGACCCTAGCTTTATGTGTTACTCTCAATTCCAACTTCTTACCTTGCATAGACCCAAGGCCTCTTCTGCTGCCCTCCCCTTACAATACAAGCCTATAGTTGTAACCTTATTCTACAGGCCTTTATAAAGACTGCCAGGGGTGGTGGTTATCTGCTAATTAATACTGTATTTTTAAAAATTCACCTTTTTTCTAGCATCACAAGTTCCTTCTCTTTCACATCAGTAAACATTTTTTAAACATGTTTAAATACTTTATTTGGCAGTTTAGAGAGGAAGGATTTTCATGTTAGTTTAGTTCACTAATGTTGCTGGATAACTCACATACAGACTTGCATGGATGCTGTCATATGCTCATATACCATTTACCTTTGTAGAGGAATTATCCTGCAGAAAACGGCCAGGGTATCTATGTGAGGAAATAACTTGATTCAAGAGGCAGCTTTTTGACACCCAAACCATTTAACTCTCACCTCAAGGAAATTTGCCATGTCCAGAATTTAAAATCAACAGTTAAGGAGGAAAATGGCTGGTGATAGCTGAGATGGAACAGGGTGGCTATGTAATTTTTGAAGTGTACCATTTATACAAAATATAAATGTTAATTGTATTGAATTGTTTCATTTTTCCCTTGTGTGCATTTTAGGCAATAATTCTAAAGAGAAATGAAATTCTAAAACTGGGAGTATCTAAACTCAACTTTTGGGTAAGATTCAATGTTTTTAATGCAGTTTATTTAAATTCTACTTTTTATTTCTATAAACTGAACACAGTTAATAATCTTTAAATAATGCAGTTTATTTAAATTCTACTTTTTA